AGATCACGCAGAGCAGGCCTGGTCTGGCCTTGGCAACAGGCTTCACATGCTTGCTTCTTGCTCAGCTGGAACCTGTGTGTCGGTTTAGTCCTTGATTTTCAGATGAGTTTTAAGACCTGGGCAAAGCGGGGTGGTGGTCTGTGAAACTGAAGTTACTGGAAATAGCTAGGTCAGGGAGAAGTTGACCATGGAGAAAGAGGAGGTCGTAGTCACTGGAATGTGATCTCAGGGAAGATGCTGTGGAAAGGAAAAACAGGAGCTTCAGGGGCCTCGGTGCTTCTCTCATTCTGGTTTAAAACAACTCACTGACCACTGGCCCATGGCCCTTGTACGTGGAAACCTCACAGGCTTTCTTTTGGTGTTGTTCTGGACTGGGCCATACACAGATAGGACTATACTCTGGACAGTAGTATGGTGAGGAATTTTAGGGCCTGGGGGCCTGATGCCAGTCCTGTAACCTCTCCCTGCTTTAGATTCCTCATCTAGACAGCAAAGCTCTGAAAAGACCCCGCTGCAATGAAGTGTGAATGTGGAGAATGGTGTGCTCTCTCTCCCTCTCCCTCCCACCACATTCCTAAGGCCTCCAATGGCTAAGAGGAGAATATCCGTTTCCACGAGACCTCTAAGACGGCTGTCTTGTCTGGCTTAATCTTGGGCAAGTTGCTGAATAGCTCTAAACCTGTTTTCGTTTTGTAAAATTAGGATGACAATACTTGAATCTTTGTGCTATGCTTAAATTATACATTAATCAGCCTGCCCCCAAAAGACCATGTTGTTTATTATACAATTCAAAAAACAGGTAAAATCTGATGTTAGAGATCAGCATAGGGGTTACCCTTGAGGAGTGAGACAGAGGCTGGGAGACTGGGCACAAGTGGACTTTGGGGAACCTGGTGATGCTGTTTCTTATCTTAGTGCTGGCTACAAAGGTGTGTTTAGTTTTAAAAGTTCATCAAGCTATTCAGTTAAGGTTTGTGCACCTGTCCATATACATTGTGATCATGGTATCTTCCCTGCCAGTAAGTAATATGTCCATATACATCGTAAAGTTAGCTCACCATCCACACACCTCCTCTAATTAAGTCTCTCTGCAGCTATTCTCCATTAACAGCTTGGCTCATATCCCTCCAGATTTTTCTGTGTCTATGCATAAATACAAAGAACACACACGTAATTTTTACAAAAGTGCTTTCCTGCAATATGCCAACAGTATGTTGAAGCGACCTGTGGATCCTTCCGCACATGGAGATCGGGATGACTCTTCCTAATAGTTGCACAGTACTTATTGTGGGGTGTGTCTTCTAGTAAACTGGTCCCCCGTTGATAGACAGTTAATTCCCGCATTTCACTGGCATAAATGATTCTGTGGGAAAGTCTCCATGCATATCTTTGTGTACTTTTGTGACTGTAGAATGAATTAGTAAGAGCAGAATATTTTGATCTGAAGTGGTAATTTAAGACAGTTAATCCCGTAATGACTTGTTGGGTGGGTAGGTTGGAAGAAGGGAGACCAGTTCGGAGGCAGTTAAAATAGTCTAGGCTTGAGGCAATTAGGGTGAAGGATTGTGAAATTGGACAAGGGAGGGATAGAAGAGGCATTCAGAGCAAAGACTACACAGCTGGGTATCTGGTGGGGGTGGGGTAGTCAGAGATCCTGAGGGACGCTGCATCTGGGTGGCTGGGACCGTCTCCCTTCCCTGGTAGTGGGGGCTGTCATTACGCCCCACAGGTGATCTTCAGCACACTGAGCGCACTGTGATCAGCGTGATCATCTTTTACTGCCTGTCTCCTGCTCTGCACTGTGAGCGCCACAGAGGCGCGGGGCCACCCCACTCTTGCTTTCTCTTCCACCCCAGCTTTTGGCACGGCGTTTGGCACACGGTGGTGGTGGTACCCCACGTTGTTGCTGCCGACTGGCAGGACTGCAGCTGTCTGCAGACCCCTGTACTCTGCAGGTTGGGAAAAGAGGGATTCAGGACCCCCAGAAAAAACCTCAGGCCACTCAGTTCCCTTGTGGGTACAGCGGGTGTGAGTGGGTAGCCAAACACGGCTCGTCCGAGCTCCGTCTGTATCACAGAGGCAGCCACAGTTGGTTCCTGAGTTGACAGGACTCCGCCGCGAAGCTGTCCAGTAGGGTGCTGTGATGCCCGTGGGGATGCAGGCTGCTGCAGGCTCCCCTTAGCCCCCCCGGGAAGACACGGGAGTGCATGTGTTACGCGACGGCTCTTCATCACCAACAGCCCTTCACCGCGCTGCGTGCGGTGGGCAGCCTTCCTGGTGAGGTGCTGGAGCCCACCTGCCAAAAGACTTTCGAATTTTCAGGTTTCCCTAGAGCAGACCCTGAGATGAGGTTCCTGTGCAGGTCTGCTGAGAAGGAAGCGCTCCCTGAGGGGAGACGGGGTGCTGGAAGCAAGTGGGCATGTGCGGTTGTTCTGGCCCCATCGGGCTCCATCTCAAGGCCCCCAGCCCTGTGGGTCACTGGGGCCTGGGGTACGCTTCAGTTTCCTGCTCTGAGGCAGAGAGCTGAGGGTGCATGCTCTTGCTCCACCTAACCTTTGATTAAGGGGGTCTAGGCCATCCATTCCCAGCACCCCTGGCCTTGCCTGTGTGTGGGCAAAGCGAGCTCAGCAGCTCAGGGAAGATCTAGGCAATGTTGACAGGCAGTGGCTCTCGCGAGCCAGTGTGGGGGGCCTCGCAGAGGCAGGAAGCCGGGAGCTGGGGGATAGCCGGAGCGTCGTCCTGGCCCTCCAGCACCTCCTGGCCCCGGTGAAAGGACACTTGGGGTGAAACCCCCCTCTGCCTCCCATCAGTCTCATTTTTTGATTAGAGGAGCCCAGCGTGTAAACGGCTGTTTAACGTCTCCATGAGGTCATCCAGCAAGTGTCTGCTGGGATGAGGCTCCTGTGCAGGGACCCAACACCCATCAGAGCCGGTTCGCTGGCTGTGCGGGTGGCACGCTGCAGTGGGGACAGAGGCAGCGATGCGTGGTGGCGGGTGACACGGTGGGCGATGCTGTGCATCGGTGGAAGGGGGCGGTGGAGGAAGCAAAGCCTCAAGCAGGCTTGTAGGAGGTGTGGAAAGAGCTAGAAGATGGAGAGGTGACAGTCAAGACCCAGAGGGGGCAGCCGATGGGAGGAGCCCAGGCGGCTGGGAGTGGGCTGGGTCAGCACGTGATGGACGGATCGGCCTTTACCAGGCGGAGGACAAGGGGGTGGGAGGGGCAGGCGAAATTCGGAAGTGAGAGCCAGCAGGTCACAAAGAACACATCTTTCTAGCCAAATGGGGAAAAGGCCATCTCGGGGTGAGTGGGGTTATGGAGTGCAGAGTGGGGAAGCTCTGGGACGGTCACTTTAGGGACGGTGGCTGAGTCGGCAGGAGAGGAGGGGAGGGAGGGTCCCGTGGTGGCCCTGGCCCGGGTGGAGCCACCCTGGTCCCCCCAGTGGGGACTTGAGGTGGGAACCGTGTCATGTCGGGAGAAGCGAGCCAGCAGGGGTGGCAGTTCCGGGCGCGTTGCGAGGCCTTGGTCTGCAGTGGCAACGGCCGCCTTGCTTAGCACCTTCCGTGAGCTGTGCCAGGGCCGAGGTCAGTGCCATCTGGCGCGCGCCATCGCGCTGCGGGGAAGGTGCTGCTTGACTTGCCCGGGCCGCGCCCCTACGGTGCAGAGCTGGACCTGCGCCTGGGCCGCTGAGGCAGGGCCTGGCCTCCAGTGTGGTCAGCAGGCCTGTCGTGAGGCCAGGTGGGAAGCGCTGCGGGGTCCTGGCCTGTCACCCCGAGCAAAGTGCCCCCGCAGCCCCCCTA